ACACATCACTTCCACTAATATTTCATGGAGAAGCAAGTCACATGGCCAAGTCTGACTTCAAAAGTGGACAAGAAGTATGTCCTATCTTGTGCCCAGAAAAAGAACTGGGGTATCTGAGAACAGCCCTGGTAAGTACTAGTCAAGGTTAGGAGTTTGTCATTGTGTGCAAACTTGTGTGTTAACATTCACAAAACAGAGCCCAGAGTCTTCGGTTTTTACATTCATTCCTTATCTGTTTGATCCTATTAACCTTCAAATCCATACTCCCTCCCAAGATTTTTTTTTTTTTTGGAAACAGGGTCTTGCTCTGTCACCCAGAGGCTGGCTTGATCACAGCTCACTGCAGCCTGGAACCCCTGGCTCAAGTGATCCTCCTGCCTCAGCATCCTGAGTAGCTGGGACTACAGGTGCATGCCTGGCTAATTTTTTTTTTCCCCCCCACTGGCACCTTGATCTTGGACCGGCTAATTTTAAAATACATTTTGTAGGTGGGGTTTTGCTACGTTGCCCAGGCTGGTCTCGAGCTCCTGGCCTCAAGTGATCCTCCCTCCTTGGCCTCCCAAATGCTGGGATTACAGGTGTAAGCCATTGCACCTAGCCCCAAGATCTTTTTTGATCAAACTTTTTTCCACTTTTTCCAAGTTAAAAAAGTTGAAGTTAATATACATACAGAAAAGCACACAGATCATGAGTGTGCAGCCTAGTGAATGGTCACAGAATGAATGTCATAGTGCACCTACCCCACAGGCCAAGAAATCAGCGTGACCAGGAGCTCACCGGCCCTTTTGGCCTTCTCCTGAATATCTCTCCCCCCTACCCTCAGGGCAACACTCTCCTGACTTCCAACTCCATACTTCAGTTACTTTGTTACACTCATCCATTCAACCAGTATTTATCAGCCAGGCACCGGAACTTCTCTGTCCTGGCAGATGGTGTTACAAACTCAAGCACAAAATTTGATCCTAGTGAGCTTCCTGTCAGAAGTCAGGATTATTTTTTGGAGGGTGACATATTTTAGGCAGGGTTGGGGGTGAGTGAGCTCTCTGAACTCTCAGGGACTCGACCTAATTAATGAATATTTTATTTCCTGTTTTATTTAAGCACATGCAGTACTTCCTACCAGAGCAGACTGGACCACAGTGGAGTGTCTTTGCTGCCTGACATGAGAAATAAGCAGCCTGCCCAGCTGGCACTGGATCTCCTACCACCAATCTTGACACCGCATGAAGCTGCCTGGCACCACTGGTGGCAGAGCAGCTCCTGCCCATTTGCAGCTCAGGTATTTTTCTCTTGCTCTCAATCATAGAGCCTCTCCCTCCCAGGTGCTGCTAGGGCTAGGTAAACTGGTTCCTTCTGGGCTGGGGAAGAGGGAACAAGTGTAAAACTTGTAAGATTGTGGTATTTGGTCTTAGGAACAGGAATATTTCGTATGCAGCTTCCACTACCTCAAAATGAGGGATAGATTTCCTGTCCTCTTGCCTATTAAATTATCAAAGGTCTTACTGGAGAGGCAGTGGCAGCTGCGTTCCTAAAATGCCAGTTCCTCCTCAAATATCCTCTAAAACAGACATTTCTGTATAAGCATGCACCCATTAAAAAATGGTATTTTGTTTTCCAGCTTCTTTGTGAAATCCTTACCAGATTTCAGGACAGGTACTCGAGGATGCTGTTACAGCTTTGATTCTGTCTTTCACACTGTGAGGGCTCAGTGCAGCTGTCCAGTTCCGCCCGTAGGGGATAGCCAGGGGCTTGAGCGAGCTGGGGGCTTGAGCATCGCAGCTCTGGAACATCACAGCCACCTCCTTTTGTGGTAATAATATTCGACAAAGTGTACCTTAACTATGCTTTATAATCAGCTGGCTTTTAAATTATAGCCATGCTGAAGAAGAGCAGAGTAAACATATGATTAGTAATTTCCTTATGCAGAGAGTAGAATTAAATAGTTTCTGGCTAAGGCCCAGGGCTTTAAAAATATTGTGCTTTCTGTAAAAAAAAGAAAATGGAAAGCTGTCTTTATTCCAAAGCCAAAGCAATGGTTCATGGCCTTTTTCCTGAGCAGTAACAGTCCAGCTCCCTGAGGAAGTGGGGAAGGAAAAGATTAACTTGGGAAAATACTCCAAGAGCCGTTTGCCTGCTCAGCTGCTGTCATCTATGTACTAAGCTGCCCCTCTGCGCCCTGTAAGCACAGTAAAATGGATCCTAGCCTTCTAGAAAGTACTCCAGGAGATGCAGAAATGCCACTGAACATGGATAAACAACACACAAAGACTGTGTGGTATCTTCTTTTTCCTGTCCTCTGTAGGTCAGAATTTAGTGTCTTAATCAACAGCAAAAGACAAGCTCCTGATACAGTAGAGATAACATACAATATTTCTTGTTTTCATTCAGTTCCCTCATCCTGCCTACTTGTTTGGAAAAAAACAGATGTATATTGTCTCATAATTTGGGAGTAACAACTCCTCAGTGTGGACCAAAGGACACACTGAGACACCTGAGATGCTTGTTAACCATGCAAGGTCCCCAGACGTAAAGAATGAGAATTCTCAGGGCAGCCTCGAAATTTGCATTTCCCCCAGCCCTCTCAAAGTTCTCACAAACGCTGTGAAGGGAGAGCTTGCACAAAAGCATCATGAAAGTATTTCTACTTGCAGCAGGCTCCCAAAAAAGGACATACCAGGGTTTAGAGAAAGGTTATGGGTGGTCGTTCATTATTTCCTTTTGAGGGAGAAATAGCAGTTTTCTTACCTGATTCCATCTGCAGGGATTGCCACGTATCTGCAGTATTTCAGTATTACAAACATCAGGGATAAAATTGTCTTCAGAGTATTGATAACTTACAGGAAAGGGCTCAACACTTCATTTATTTTGGGACCAGTGTTAGGTAGAGTGACTCCAGTGAATTTCTCCAGAAGCACCTCCCTCAATTGCCCATCTGTGTAAGTGAAAAGTTGAGAGGTTTAGTCATCAGTTTAGTTGTAATAGTGGCAGGGCAAGTTGTCGGTTTTGCTTTCTGAATATTAAACTCTCAAAGGTCCCACTGCTCCATTCCTGTTGTCTTGGGGTAGATTCCAGCCTTCAGCTGCTCAACTCCCAGGGCAAGGTTTCTGGGAAATTGGCTCACTGTCACCTAAAGGTTTAGCCTTCTATTAACTTAAGCTGGAAAACAAGATTAGGAGTCTCCAGTCCTATGCCAGCCTCACTCGGGGACCTTGCCCAAGCCTCCTGTCACAGATCCCTTTATGGAGTCACCATAAATCACAGCTGTACCAATGGGATAATCAGGATTGTTTATACAGTGTGCCAAGATCCCAAGATAAAAAGCATTCTAACTGCCCCGTGTTATTAAACAAGGCACAAGCCAGTGTGCGTTACCCGGAGGTTAGATACATAATTGTTTAAGACCTCACTCAAAGATAAAATAAGATTCACTTTCTTTTCAAAATTTAGCCCAAGAAATCTAAAGTGTAGCACGCAGACGTAGGGATTTATTTTCTAATGCATTTATATTAATGCCTTTCCTTTCTCTGATGGAACAAAGAAAATTTCTAGGCCCACAGTCTACTTGAGGTACAGTCCTCTTTGCTCAAAAGGCATGTCTTACTGTTCAGGGACAGACAACGCAGGGTTCTCCTTCTCTTCACACACACACACTCTTCTGCTTTAATTTATTGTGCCATTTTGGATGTGTAGGAACTTGGGCTTGAATAATTACCTGAACTGGAATTTAGTCCGAATCCCAGAGCTAAAAGGTCTGTCCTGAGAGGGAAAGAGAGGCTTATGACTCCAGGTGGCTGTGACCTCATTTTCACGGTTCATGGCAGAGGACAGTCCCTCGTGGTCCTAGGAGACTAGTCTGTCACTGCCCAGGTCTGCCTGCATTGCCAACGCCACTCTCACTGCTGCTCCCCAAGCTCTTCTCTGAAAGATTCACACATCAACTCTGTGAAACAGGCATTAAGATGAAATACCTGTTGGAAAAATCTATTCTCTAGCCTTTTTTTTTTTTTTTTTTTTTTTGAGACAGAGTCTCGCTTTGTTGCCAGGGCTAGAGTGAGTGCCGTGGCGTCAGCCTAGCTCACAGCAACCTCAAACTCCTGGGCTCAAGCAATCCATCTGCCTCAGCCTCCCAAGTAGCTGGGACTACAGGCATGCGCCACCATGCCCGGCTAATTTTTTTTTTTTTCTCTCTATATATTTTTAGTTGTCCAGATCATTTCTTTCTATTTTTTTAGTAGAGAGGGGTCTCGCTCTTGCTCAGGCTGGTCTCAAACTCCTGACCTTGAGCGATCCACCCGCTTCGGCCTCCCAGAGTGCTAGGATTACAGGCATGAGCCACTGTGCCCGGCCTCTGGCCTCTTTCTTGAGCTCAAATTTAAAAAAGGGAGGGAAGGAAGGAGGGAAAGAAAAGTTTCAATGATATTTCTCTAATGCACCTGGCTCTCCCAAATGGCTTTGGTCAAAATTCATCATCAGCAACTGTGCCAAAACACTTAGTTTGAATTTTGGCTGTCATGCTTCTCCATTTTAATGAGATGGCCCCAATTCTCTGTACTCTTTAAAAAGAACTTGAAAACAGGTACCGTTTGGCCAACAGCATTCTGAAATGCAAGGTCTGTTCAGCTTCATCTCTCCTTTCTTGTTGCTACACATTTCAACTAGTCGCCCAGCAGTTGCACCCAAAATTAGTGTCAAGGATTGCTTCTGCACCTGAGAAGAGCCAACTCAGAGGCTCCCCTTGGAGGTTACCTGTCTGATAAGCTGTTTGCCTAATAAGGTCTCAAATTTCAGCCTCCTGACTTGCAACCTGAGTCTCGAGCCAAGCTGCGGAAATGGACAAGTGCTCTCAGAAGACACCTCCTCCCTTGGAGCCCAGAGTCCAAGACCAGCAGACCGCACACTTGCCCTCCGTGCTCAGTCCATCCATCAGCGTTTGCCGACACTGCTGTAAGTCAACAGGATCAGGGCAGACAGCTGTCGCGGATGAAGCAGGGACAAGGAAAAGAGCTTAATGAAATTTTATTTTAGAGATATGGCAAGAGTCTAAGGCACTTCAAACATTTAAATACATATAGGACCAAAGTAAATGTGACATGGTATGAAGGAATCAATCCATAAATACAAAGAACTACACTATGTTTCTCTAGAGGCAAATAATAGCCAATTCCTCTAACACAATCGAACCTTTATCAATAGATACAGGGTTGTGCCATTATTAATAAAAATATGGTAATGTTACATATAGTTCTTCATGTCTTTAATTACTATAGAATATAAAAGTTGAAAATACTGTGTCAATTTCATATAGACACCTTTTATATAAAAAGTCGTATAATACATCCACCTAGATAAAACCAATTAAAAATACTTCCTTTTGTAAGTTCTATACTTTTTGAGAATTCCATCTTCTATTTTTAAATCAGAAACTACCAGCCCAGGCCTAAGTTGTTGATAGTCAGTCATCGCAACTTCCTTACTTTAAAAGAATACAGACAAAAGGAACATCACCTTGGGATGGAATTTTGGAAGAGATTTCCAATGATTCCACATTTAGTAAATATAAATATTTGTGAAAAATTTTAAAACATGACGTCAGTGAGAACCTGACACTTCTTAGTGGTGGTGGTGGTGGGGGAGTGGAGAGAAGGAACAGAAGGTGCCCATTCAGGTCAGGTTACAATTTCCTACAACTGTACATAACGGAGCAGAGACTCAACAGCAACAGAGACTGGGTTAAAGTGTGCCCTACACAGAGAGATGATGGCCAGAAAGGAAGCATGCGTGCCCAGGCTGGCAGTCTCTGCACTGTGAAAGCTTCAGCCTTTAGCCCTTGGCTTTATGCTTCTGTTTGCTGGTGCGCTCAGGCACAACACGTATACATTCAGTATCTGTCACCCCAACAGGAACAATTAGCAGCTTAATGGTGGCGTGTAAATGGAGAGCAATTTGCATGTAATCAATCAAATGAACCTCGGTGGGTGGGACCAGGAGATGTCTTCCTTCCAAGCCTAGGCGTGCCCTAGAGACCAGGAAAGGAAAAATACTGGGGATTAATAAGTGACCTCAGGCAGATATGTCCCCTGTGACATAGGAGCATGGTCCCTCATAGCCAAAACCACCTGTGAGCCAGAGCCTTGAGAGCTCTGGCCAAGTATAGGGGACAGATGTCCACAGCTCCAGCCATGACTCCCGGGTCAGCCAGACTCAGCAGTGCCATATCCAAGTTAACTGCCCAGAGTGAACTCTCGACTACAGGCTGCCCACCGTCTGCTTTAGGAACAAAGCCAAAACTGTGCTGATACGTATCCATGGGCTTGGGGTGTGCCATCTGAATAATTCTGCACAGAATAAAAACCTCCACATGAGGATGTGAGAGGTTTTTATTCTGTGCAGACAAGCAGGGCCCAGCCTCTGCTAAACATCAGCTCTCCTGGCCTTCAGGGTGTGGCAGACACGATGAACTCTTAAGCTCCAGACTAAAACTTCCATTTTCAGAACCAACATAAAACCTGCGTCTGTCAATTTCCCAAGGTGGGGGTCTGCCAGGCTGGTGGATTTCAGCCTATTTACAAATGCCAAATGTACAACACTGACCGGAGACTGGGCTTTTGCGAAGTTGACGTGGGCATAGAGGAGAACAGCGATGTCCTTGTGTCCTGCTTCCAGGGCTATTGAGAGCGCGGTGCTGCCATCCTTAAGATAAGATGGAAAGAACAAGCCAGGTTGGGTTTCTCAAACTTCCAGACAGCCACAAGTTAACAAAACACTGTCCAGCAATTGACAAGGTTCCCCAAATACAGCCATTTGTTCACTCCTTTAGGAAACTTCTCTGAACCTTTAAGTGTGGAGGTCTGAGGATGCAAAGATGAATGAGGCAAGCCTCCACCCTCAAGAAATCTTGGAGAGGAGAATCACCCCATTCCCTTTGTCTGTGCCTCACAGTATCTAGCGGCGAGGTCCGTGCTCTGTGGATCTTGAAAGAGTGCAGGCTGCCCATGAAGAACTCTTATCCAGCCATTCTGTCCACCAGAAAGGAACAAGGAGGAGAAGACAGGGGTAGAAACATAATTTAGTTTCTTTTTTTCTTATAATTACAAATAACCAGGCAAGTACCATGGTGTGTGTTTGGAGGCCCTGCAATTTGCCAGCTATCTCTTAACTTTCCTCTTGGAGAGGAGCTGAGATCCTAAAGCCCTAACCACCTCAGAGGTGGCTTGCATTAAGTAGAAGGGAAACACCAGATACAGGAAAGAAAATTTCAGTTAAATGCTTGATTTCTATTAAATTGCAGGGAGTTAGATGGATGTAAAAGGAGTACCAAGGCAAAGTCAGTACAACTTATTTTCTGTCTAGTCTTGAAATAGGGATTTCCCTCCTGTCAAAAGCAGCAGGAAATAGTTCACATGTGGTTTAATCGTATGGTCCCTCCCTCCCACACTGAGTTCTGGGAGCTGCTTTTCTTCCAAACAAACAAAAACCAAAACTCATCTAACACAAGCTGTCCTTGAGGAAAGAGAAGTTGGAAACTCTCTCCCCTCAAGGGCAATTTAAGGGGATGTGGCACGAATGCAGCACGTGTTTCAGCAGTGTGGGGGTAGCTGAACTGCTAAGACAGTCAACCCTTCAACCCAGTAAAAACCCCCATTGGTTTGCTGCTCTTCTTGCTGGCTTGGGCCCAGAGGTATCTGAAGTTTAGTGAAAAGAAGGATATTTTTCCTTTCTTTCTGGTGTTTTGAGCTGAAGGAAGCTCTGGTCTAACCTATGCTCTGCAGAGATAAACCTTCAAAACCAGAACCAACCCAGCCCGACCTCTGTGATCTTAAACCCTTTCACCACCTGAATGCCCATTCTCACACATGCCCATTAAAGTACTTTCTTCTTTTTGTGAATTTTGGGGTGAGGCCTATTTATCTTTCTGCCTTTGGCTTCAGTTAATGGGAGTATTAGCTTGCACATAATAAGCGTAGCCAAGCTGGGTGGTGGCCTGGATGGCAGCGTAATCCACAGAGAATAAAGGAGAATTCATTCTCTCCCTCTTGCCAAACAGCACGCAAGGCTGAGCCCCCCAGGCCCTGGCCTGAAGGCGCAAGGGAGACAGCTCACATTGTCCTCCAGGTGGCCGTTGCAGCCTGGCTGGGCCAGCAGCAGCTTCACGATCTCCACGTGCCCGTGCTCGCTGGCACACATGAGGGCTGTGGAGCCCTCGTCGTCCTGGATGTTGACGTCGGCCCCACAGGCCAGCAGGCCCTTCACCATGTCTATCCGCCCGTGACTGACTGCCAGCATGAGGGCCGTCTGCCCCGCCTGTGGGAAGGAATGACAGCGGATTTCAGAAGTACGTACGGAGCTGGGCGGGGGCCTGTAGTGGGGCTGTGCTGGGGGAGGGGAAGAGAAGAGTGTGATGTGTGATGACAAGAGGGGAAAAACTGGACATGGTATTACTTAGGCAGGCGGGGTCAGGCATGCAGAAACTAGCTTCTTGGAAGCTAAGGACGATTACAAAGGAGTCAATTTTCATTTCAGTTTGGAGGATCTGTCTCATCATAGCGATGAACTGGAGAGTTCAGAAGATGTATAAAAGCCAAGTTGTGAACACATCTGGACTCGGGACACTATGCCTGGCATGAAGACGCTTCAACAGGGAGACAGGAAACAACAGACACTGGACATATGATGTGGACTCCTAGTCACTTACATGCAGGCCGACTTAAACCATTTCTGTGCAAACTCTGCAAACAGAAGGGCAAGGCAAGGGAGGGAGAAGTTTCCAATGCAAAATTTAAACGAATATTTCACTGGTGTGTTTGGTCAGCAAGGGCAGCACGTGGACTGGGGGTGGGCTGGCGAGCAAGTGCACTGGTGGGAAGCGTGGTGTCACTGTCTGCTCTGGCAGAGTGATCACAGCAGGCCTGTGTGGTACCCACCGGTCACACCTGCAATCGAGAGCACGGGAAGCAAGTGTGCTCACCTGACTGGCTTTGGCATTCACGTCCCCACAGCCAAAGAGTTCTTCCACAACCTGCATGTCCTTTTCTGCTTCCACGGCGGCAAGGGCCGCCAGCATGATGGGGGTATATCCCGCCTTGTTCTGGTGATCCACGTTACACACATCTGCAAAGAAGAGTATTAAGGAAGCAGCCATCTCCTAACAGCAGCTGTACACAGGGACTGAAGGTATGTGGTTTAGAAGAGCCCAGTGAAATGGCACCAGGTAGTCTGAGATTGACTTAGGAGGAAATGTGAGAGATGATTTCATGCCAAACGTAAAAAAAATTTTTTCTATTTCATGAAAGCAACAGAAATGACAGTAAGCTTCTACAGCACATCTTGGTGGTTGAACTGCAACAACTTGGAGGTCTGTGAGGCTATTCTAAGTAATGGCTTCTTTGGAGAATAAACAATATGAAATGTAGGCATGCAGCTGTATTTAGGAAATCACTGTTTTGGAGTGAAGCAGACACTGAGAGCCACAGATGAAAGAAGGGTTTGCAAAGGCCTGTGTATGAACACTGAATACGGTGTTATCTGCTTATCCAAACGCTCCTCATTCTGAGATCCTGAGTTTATAACTCTGATTCGTTTGGGGTCCTTAGGAGCAGAATTCCAGTCACATAACGTCTAGCTCTAGGATTTGTGGTCTGAGAGCAAATGCATGAAGTCCTCTGAGAAACAGCCAGGGATGGACAGACCCAGTGAACCAGACCTCTTCTATTCCTATAATTCTTAAGGAGTCTTCAAGGGCTAAATTATCCTTTAGGCATTTAAAAGTTCTTTCAGCATGTTCTATGAAATGACAGGAATGATAAGTATTAGAAAGCAGCATTTCTGTGTGACCAAGTTAAAACATTTAGAATGTTTTTATCATAAAGGAGTGAGTAGAAAAGGTGCCATGAAAATTTACGTTAAGATCCCAAACAACTGCATACTAAGGACATAATGGTGTTTTTAAAAGTGCATATTTTTACGTAAAAAAGGGAAAAGAAAAGAAAGGCTGTAGAAGACATGGGCAAGTACACGTGCTCTTTGAAGCTTCACAGATGGTGAAGCAGCCTAGATTCACATTTTATGGAGCCAGAATCTCAGTCTATAATGGTGAGCAATAAAAATTCATAAAGAAGAGTGATTAAATCAGACCATCCAACAATGGAATTAAAGTCATTTAATTTGCCAAGATGTTTGATCCACTCTAATTTTCCAAGAGTATATTAAATTGTTCCTTTCAGGAGTAATACTGCAATCCTATTTCCAGCTTCCCTGGATATTATCTGCTTCTGTTTAAACAATAACTTGGGTGACATTATCGCCAGCTCTGTTTAAGGTCTGGAAAGTCTGAAGGGAAGGAGGTTTGAAATTCCTTCCTGTACGATGGAAACAGTTATACCCTAACGGCCCCTAAAATAGGGAACAAGCAAACTTAGAGGAGGAAAAAAAGGATCGATCTGCTTGGATTTCTTCTCTGCATTAACCCAAAATCCCTAAAGCAGAGTAGAAAAAACTGGACAGACAATTCAGGAAAATCAGACAGTTTTCCTGTGTATTCCAAATTAGATGTTCACATTGTATCCTCATTAACACATTAACTGCCATGTGAGTTGTATTTAACTCATGCTAGTTTTGAGCCCGGGGCCTTGTGAAGCGTATGTAAGCATATAGTGTGTGAAAATCTTGCTGATCTTCTTATTGTTACAGTTAGTATTGACAATTTAATTGCATATAACTCACACATAGAAAGCAATAAAAAAATAAATTTTTCATTAAATCAGAAAGGATCGTTTTTGTTTTCAGAGTTTTTATTCTATTTCATAATAAGTCACTGTGGCCTTGAGGAAAAAAAATTTTTTTCTGGTGTGGCAGTCAATGTCTTAATTAGATTGAGGTACTGTGAATTCTGTACCAGTCACACACTAGAAGTAAAAATATGTATTACAAAAGTCAATGAAAGTGATTTGGGGACTATGTGTATCACTGGGCTGTTCCACTTGAACAAAAAGTTGAAAGCTCACTGTTTCTCAAGGGGATCCTCCTATGTACCACTTCCTCACTTCACGTTTAATATATCCACTGGCTACATTCTGGGATAGCAAATTTCCACTATTCTCACTATCATGGTTCAGATATAAGAATAACACTCCCTTTCCTCTATATTGCTTCCCCAGTAACAGTATATTTTGGCGAGAATGGTGATGATTCTACCATAATCTGCTACAGTGGCTTCGCCTGGTGTCCATCTGGAATCCCCCACTTCTGCAAGACCATAGGATGGTGGTCGTGGGGCAAGGACAGACTGTGTGGTCCACAAGCACCAACGCTATGACTCTGGGCCTATGAGCAGCCCTCTGCCTCCTGCGAGCAAACCAGCCAAGCCTTCATGACTCAGCTCAGGAAGGAACGTGAGTCATGTTTATTACCAGGGATACACCTCACTTGAATGCAGCTGAACTGCAGCAAGAATATCCTCAAAACCTCCTTTCAAAACAGATCTGGATGGCTCACGCCTGTAATCCTAGCACTCTGGGAGGCTGAGGCAGGTGGATCATTTGAGCTCAGGAGTCTGAGACCAGCCTGATCAAGAGTGAGACCCTGTCTCTACTAAAAATAGAAA